CCACGTCGACTTTCTGATACTCGCATTGAAGTGAATAGATCGGGGTGAAGTTAAGAGGCATTGAACACTGTCACCTTAGCTAGGAAGATTGTCCAGGCTTCTGACTGGGCAGCCGAGCTTACAGTCTGCACTGATACCTCTTATCTATGTTGCCATCGTTCAGTGCATCCGTCAATGGCACCGATCAAGTAATTGTGGGTGCGTCAAACCTTATCCAGAGGAATAAAAACAGAAAGACACAACGGGCCACCTTGACCTCAGATTACTCAGTTTGGTAGGCTAAATAAAAAGAACTTTAAGAATCCCACCTTACACATCCTCATTAAGGCTCCCTCGGGTAGGCCATGGAGAGAGGGATTTATTGAAGGGGATTTGAGTCCAGCAGCAAAAATGCGTCCCACCAGGCGCTGCACCCTGCCCAGTCTGATAAGTGCGCGAGGACGTGGCTCACTGCAATTACACACTTGAAGACTAGAGCTGCATGGCAAAGGCAAAAATCTGTTATATCTTCCAAAGTACGTCATGTTGATGAGCCGACATTTAAGACAGTGCAACGACAAGTTGCAGTTGTTTACTCCTTGGTTGCAAGTGCATCCATTAGTTCTCTGCTTCAGCTCGAAATGTTATGCATCGATCAATTCAGTTCTTGGTACATTGGGCTCAACAATGTGCATCCGTTGGGTACGGGACTGGAATCGGTGCAAAAGCGTTTGGGGTCTCTATCTGCTCGTGAAGTGATGACCACCTGTGCCAGTTGCTATGGTCTAACGTTGGAGGGTGCGAATTGACGGACTGCCCAAAGGACCAGGCCCACAATCTGTGCACGTTGAAGATGGTCCCAGAGGTAGGCTGAGGTCGAGACACGTCCCAAGCAACAATTCCGAACGAAAGCAGCAGCAAGACGGCAACACCAAGCTGAGAACCGGCATGCCGAGGAATGAAAGGACGTAGCCATGATGGTTGACCTGAAAGTGTTGCCATGACCGGATGCCAAATTCAGACCTAAACGTGCGATATTTCAAACCAGAACTGCCCCTCAAAGGCCACACGAAGTCGATATGTATACCTGTACTATAGGTTGTAGGTGTTAAATTATAAATAGGTATGCCGATCCCCGAGTGCGGGAGAATACCGTTCACTACGAAGTTCGGCGTCCGACCGTGACCACTGACGAAGGCGAGAAAGTAGACTTGGTGGGTAAGACGGTATTCGACGCGTGTTCGACACTAGCTGGGACTCTGGGAGCACATTCAACTAGGACGACAGAATCCGCCTGCGGCGGATTTAGCAGCTCGCCTCAATGTAAACACCATTATCTAAGAAAATATCTTCAATGAGGGGGGGTGGGAGGGCGCCCCGACTCACATTTTAAGGGCGGGTGGGAGGGCAAACATTGATCCCCGTGTGGGCCCCGGTACACTACCCTATGCGGTGAAACGAAGTTCTAAAACTTGGTAAAAGGGTTCCTTGTCATATCTTATGAACATCTTGTGATTGGGTGGGTGGGAGGGCGCCCCGGTTTTAAAATTACGATTGCTTTTTGATCCCGGTGCAGACCGGGGCAACACCCCAGGCATCATATCGAATGCACACTGCTAAAATCTGCCAAGACCTGGCCAAACACAAACTGTAGTACAGCTTGGCAACCGCCGAAAGTAACGGGGAAAACGGGTTTATTTTGATCGTTCGGAGGATATAGGGGGATTTGCAGTGACCCAAAAACACTAAGTGATTTGCAATCTTCGGTTGGTCCATTCCCGCTCAAACCGGAAAAGCACGGCGGCCAATATTGCTGTATAATTAATGATGTATCGAGGGAAAATACCTCCGGACCGTCCGTATAATTCTGCCGTTCAATCTTGGCTTTTATACAGCATAAAGCATTTGGATTAGAATTTGACCAAATACGTAGAACAACGTCACCGCTGTTTTGGACCATCTGGGTGCCGGGACGTCGTACAGTGAAATAATTTGCCGGGAGACCCCCCGGATGTCCGCTATTTACCTCGCCCCATATAAATATGGGCGAGCTAAAAATTTATAATTTGATGTCTCATCATGGATTCACATTCCGTCAGAATCCGTTTTCGGCGAGGTGGTTGAGGGCATTGAGAGGCATGTTGGAAGGCCCCTCGAGCTGTGGAAGAGCATTCCAAAGCAGAACGAAGCACACGAGAAGTTGCCAATATGCGTAGTTTCCGCTGCAGAACCCCCCGGCCTAAACGGCGCCGTGGGAAAATATGAAAAGATAGAATCTCCTCGAACGGGAGGCATTCAACATGGGGGCAAGCTGGGATCTCAAAAACAAAAATGAGAAATCGCGGTACGCGGTTTAGGAGCTCGTTTATAGGCAGACACATTAAAATATATGCAATTTAGGTAGTCTATATGTGGATAAAAATCACAATTACAAATATCCATTGGTAGGTTCGAAAGTATCGTTTTTAAAATCACACAGGAAGTTACAGTATGCACCAAAACCAATTATATTTACCCGCTTATAGTGTAGCTATTGAAGTAATTTGTTGATAGACTTGCAACTTGGGGGCTAGTTTCCCGCTGCAGATTCACCCCCTGGCACTTAGAGCCTGCAAAATTCTTGAATTGGCGCTATATGGCGGTGGCGGCCCTGGCCGCCCCCAAAGCCGTTGATGGAAAACATTTGCAAAGGCCTACGACATGGCGGCGAAGGCGCAAGAGACGCGGATCGTGTGGGATGAACTGGACGAGACGCTGAACAAGCTGGAAGCCGCATAGGAGGCGGCGCTCCAGGGCAAGAAGGTGCAACGGGGGCGCAAGGGACGGGACCTCGAGTTCGACATGGAGCCAAGATACAGTGCCGGTGGGGGCCTGAACACCCATTTTTGGCTAGGAGACAGTCAGATTCATGACCCCCTTCTCACGCGCGAAGCTGCAAAACCAGAAAAAAAAGCCTGCAAATTAACGAAATTGCGGGATTGCGTCAGATCGTCACCGTCGCCCAGATCTTCTGCCCCATCCCAGTCGTCCATCTTGGCACGTTTCGCAAAACGACAATTTCTGCCGGCTTAGCCGTCGATATCTTTGAAAACGTGCGCTTACTCGCAATTTGAGCCGTCGGTTAGTAAGGCCTCTAGCCCGCGGGCCGCAGCCCTAAACATATCTTGGATTTTGTACCGGCCAGAGCCGCAATTGGCCGGCAGTCATCCACCGGGCATGTAAGCAATGGACGGTATAAGTAAGCTTCCAACGACGAGTTGGACTAGACCGCTGTAGACTGTAGTGCGAGTCGGATTGGGCGGTCCGATTCGCCAGGCAGAGCCTCCGATGGTCGACCCTTTGACACCCGGTTTCTGTTGGTCCCGGGCTCGGAGGCCATACTAGGAGGGGACCGCCCGAAGGGCGGTGGCCCTCCTAGCCCATTCTAGTCAGTCTAGTTGGGGCTTCATTTGGATTCTTTCAGGCAGGGCCCATGCGCGCCTGACTTTCATCGCGCGCTATCTGAACAAGACCATTAAGGCTCGACTGCAAGACTTTGCGCGTTTCGCGCAACCTTCTGCAAAGTATATTTGAAATTTCATCGAATTCAGATTCCAGTACCGCCCCGTACGGTACTTAAAGGTGCCTGAATGTACCATTGGAGGTACCGTGGTACATCATGTACCCAGCAGGACCCGGTAGGTACCGTAAAAATAGGTTTGATGCTAACCACGTCAGTCGACTGGTACGTACTGACTTGTACACAAAAATGAAATGAACTTCAATCAGGCTCCTCCTGATCATTCATTCAAACTTCATTCAGGCTCCTCCTGAATCCTGAATTTCTGAATTAAGTGGTAGGGCGGCGGGCCTATGATATTTGGTTAGAGTAAAATGTTATCGGTTTGGTCCAAGTTAACGGCCAGCCCCCCGGTTTTTTTCCAAAAATTCAGGATTCAGGAGAACCCTGAATGAACCCTGAATGAACTTCTCGGACTATTCATTCGGGGTTCATTCAGGGTTCTCCTGAACCCTGAACTTCTGAACCGAGCCCCCGAGGCTCGGACCGTCGTCTGCTGCCGCGCGTCTACATTTATTATGTATTTTGTGAGTTTACGCACTGTTCAGACTGCATAATGCAGAATCCCAAAATGTTCGGAAACTTTCCGGTACTTACGGCAGGTCGTATTTTGACGTGTGCACCGGGCACCATCTACTGGTAAAATTCGCTTAGCTACTGGCACGAAGGTCGGCTACCGGCTGGAAATGACCACACTCACTGTACGGAATTCTTCCATTATTCATATATATCAAAAATAAATTGCATTGCGAAAAGCAAATCACAACAGCCGGAACCATGCTAAACGTCAAAATCGATTGGCAATGAGGGCTAGATTGAGTATTCTATTTTTAAAATGGATGCAAACTGCAAAATCACGGCAGCTCCAGACCATGCTAAACGTTAAAACCGACTAGCAATGTAGGGTGAGCTTGCATGTGGCGGATTCAGTTCAGGTCCATTCGGGTTCCTTCTGAACCCTGAAGCTTTGAACAAGGGGACCGGTCACCGGGGCGCACCGGCGCGGCGCCGGGTACAACTTGAACCGGGCTTCATTTCCAACTCATTCAGGCTCCTTCCGAACCCTGAATTTCTAAACATGGTGACCGGGCCCCCTAAGCCGCGCGGCCCCGGGGAACCCTATGGACCGGGCTTCAATTTGGGTCCATTCAGGCTCTTCCTGGATCCTGAGATTTTGAACATAGCGACCGGGCCCCCTAAGCCGCGCGGCCCCGGGGAACCTCGTGAACTGGGCTTCAATTCAGGTTCATTCAGGCTCCTCCTGGATCCTGAATTCCTGAACATAGCGACCGGGTCTTAGGGTGCGCCGGGCAGAATTATTGCTCATAGCCTATAGCCATGTATCTGAATTTTGAATGTACTATAAAAGGACTGAAAATGATGTATTTTAGATGTCCTGAGTTTGGAATATCAGGCCGCCACCGGCACTTACTCGGAGCCAATCCCCACGGTAAACGTCAAGATGTTGCCACAAGAGTATGCCGAGAAGTTCACCACAGCGGGAGTGAACGAAGTGCCGGAGGCCACCTTGGCGAGCGATGACCCGCTTACACCCCCTCCGCCCAGAGCGGAAGCCCGCCAAACCCTGGAAGAGATGTCCATTCTCGAGATCTTCATCTACGAGGCCTCCGCCTACATGGGCTCAGACTTCATGGCCGCCACATCCCGTACCACGAACCCAAACTGTGCAAACCGAAACCCGAGGCTTAGGAGCCGCAAAAGTCCAAAGCAGTGGAGAAGGTGCGAGCGCAGCGCCAAGCCCGAGGACGAGTGGGCTCTGCTCAAAGGACAGGGGTCGGCGGCGCAAAGAAGCGGGCGCAACCGGTCAGGCAAAAGGTCAGGAAGGGTCCGAACCGGATAACTCCGACAGCGAGTCGGGGAATTCCATGGACGACTTCATTGTTTGTGGCCCAGAAAAGGAGGACAGTTCCTCAGCCGAGAGCTCCTCTGATGAGCCCGCGCAGCCGGCTAAGGGGAAGGCCGCAGCGGCAGAGCCCTCGCCGGAAGAAGAAGAGATGGAGAGGGGGCTGGGCTACCTGGCGCTTGGGCCGCCGGCGGACGCAGAGGCCCTCTGATCAAACGATGGAGGCTGCGGACATGCTGGCGGGAGGGCCACCACCGCCGGCGGAAGGAGAAGCGGGGCAAGATGAAGAAATGGGCGCCGCGGATCAGCCGGCAGGGGGGGAAGCGTCGGGAGGAGATCCAGGAGAAGAACCCCCTGATCCAGAAAAGAAGGGGTCCCCGCCAGAAGACGAGGCGACGCCCATGGAGGAAGAAGAGACAGAAGAAGAAAAAGAAGAAGAGAAAAGGGAGGAAGAGCTGGCCCAGGAGCCGGAGCGGGCAGAAGCGGAGGAGCAAGGGGAGCCGGAGCCAGTGCCGGCAGAGCAGAGCGGGGGCGGTGAAGGTGCCCAAGAGCCGAGGGGGGTAGATCCCTCAAGCACAGAAGTAACTTCGGACGAGGAGGAGGCTCATGGGGCCCCTTCACGCACGGCAACGGAGTTAACCAGGAGGAAGGATTTTTGAATCTTCTTGCCGAACCCCAAGGAACGCGGGCGCATGGAAATGGAGAACCACCTGACCATCCTGGAGAGAGGATTTCTGCGCAACCCGGAGGACCTGTTCGCCCCAATGCTCAAAACCCGAGCTGGAGAACCTCCCGCGCCGACCGCAAGAAGGACCCGCAGTGGAACGAGCTCAAGGACAACGAGCTCCACGGGTACCTCAACTACTGGGCTCACGCGGTTTTGGAGTAGAAACGCGCAAGCAAGAAGCAAGGGGCAGACGCTCGGACCACGGCCTGGTACGAGTTTGTCTACCAGGCGCTGGCATGGGTGGGGACAGACTTGCTAGAGCTCTTCCGCCAGCGACGAGAGCAGCGAGTACCCCAACGACCAGACTTCGCCGAGATGGTCCGGTTGCCAGGCCGGATGTCCAAGAAACCCATGGACAGCGAAGAGCTGGTCACGGCCGGCCCCAACCCTGACCAAAAACTGAACCGGGGACGCAGCGGAAAGTGCGGGGAGGCGGTCGAGATGCCAATTGACCAGTGGCGGGCGCAAGCGGCGGAGACGTACGGCACGGCGCTGATCACGGGGTTCCTCAAGAAAAAGAAGAGGAAGATGCCGGAACCGCCGGCGTCCGCGATGCGGAACAAGCTGGTCGGCCCCGAGCCCACGCCCCTAGAAGGAATGGGGGAACTCGCACCCCCGCAGTCCAAACCCCTTGGGTCGATGCTGCGGCCGGCGCCAACTGCAGCAGCGGCGGAACTAGCCGCCGGCGAGGAGAAGCTGTCGTCCAAGTCCAGGAGGAAGCCCGCGGCAAAACCTAAGGAGCCGCCGGTGCCAAAACCTGAGGTGAACCCACCAACCCCACCGGTGCAAAGCTCTCCTAGGAAGGGGCTGGGGACCTGGTCCTTCTCGCGCCGTCCGGTGGCCCTGCTTCCACGCTTGACGTGCTAGTTGAGGCGTCACGGGTGGCCGAGGGGCCGCCGGAAGAGGCTGCGGCCGCGCAAGAGGATGAAGAGGAGCAAGAGCGCCGGCGGAAGTGGAAATTACAAAAGGTGGATGAAGCTGAGCCGGAGCCTGAGCCAGAGCCTGAGCCTGAGGGTGCGAGGGGGGAAGAAACCGAGGAGGCGATCTCGGCAGAAGAGCTCCTCCAACTTCGGCGAAAGCATGTCGCGAAGGACCCGTGGTCCAAGGTCCCGGATGAGGACGAATTGGAGGACGACAGTTGGCTGCAGAAGGCGTTGGGGTCAGCGCGTTATCCCTTGAGGAACCGGAGGGGGAGAGCAGAAACCCATGGGTCGGTGAAGCAGAAGGGGGGCGCGGCAGCGACAAAGAGCGAGTCGGACCCAGCCGCCGCTGCGGAAAAACCTAGAGTCCCGTCGTCCCTGCTAGGGATCACTCCCAAAGAGATGGACCGGCGGGTCAAGCGGTTCAGCCGTTGATTGGACCCATTGAATGGGAGATATCCCGGGATTCGACAACGAAGACGACTGGTACAACTAGGTGCTGGTAGACGTGTCCGAAGGCTGGAAGGAGGTGCTCGAGAAAGAAGGGCTACCCCGCGGAGAGTACGACTCGATTCAGGCGGCCACGGCGGTGCGTTACTGGTGAATTAACCTAGGGCCCGGCGAGATAGCCCACATGTACAGGGGGCCGAGGCTTCCCCTACTTCATGCCAAGGTGGGCCTGATCCAAAGCTTACAGTGGGTGAGACACGCGGCGGGGCAGGGCCGGGAGGCGTCAGCGGGGCTTCAGGAGTGAGGCGCGTCTGGCCAAGCGTAAGACGTCCCAGCCTGCCAAGTCGGTGGCTGGAAAACGTAAGGCCTCGGGTGGAGGTGTTTCTGGACGTTCGTCCAAGGCCAAGTTGGGGGCTGCCCTCACTGATGAGGAGTATGCCAATGATATGGCCAATCGTCTGTGCCATATCTGCCACAAGCCAAGCGATATTGCACGTGACTGCGAGGAAGCACCTCCTCCCAGTGGAAGCAAGAACCAGGGCCAAGGCCAGAAGAAGGGCAAGAAGTCAGAAAAGGGTTTTCAAAGAGACTAGCCAACGTAGGACAGTTGCCTAGTCAAGAGAACTGTGTATTGGATCTGACGGAACAAGACTTCCTGAATATTTCGAATGTTATTGGACATACATTTGAAATGGGAGTTCATCGTTCAGAAGATTCTATCTCTACAGATGTATGTCCTAATTCAGTCTTTCTGGCATCGTCTATGGCAGGCAAGCATGTGTGGATAAATGCAAGTACAGCTAAGGATGTTATTGAACGTCTTAGGCATATGCACTCTGCATTTGTTGATAGCCCTACTTCTACGTCTGCTTATGTGTTAGTAGGTGATAGCATGCCTTATGCATTGCCCTTGTTGAAGGATCGTGTTGTGCTGACAGTTCCAAAAGGTGGGTTGGTTCGACAGTTGCAATCAGATAATACGTGGTCTGTTGTGCGAAGTCCTAAGGAGTTGCGAGTCCTGTACCTTGCTTCTGTTGCTGACAAAGTGTCTGCTGAAGCGGGTTTGTTAACAGGGAAGATTCTCGCAGCCTCGCAGAAGGGCTCAGCTAAGTTACCACGAATCATGTTTTCTGGTAAGGCAGCTGCTCAAAAGGCCAACATCCTCTTTGATTCTGGAGCTTCAGTGAACTTCGTCTCTGCCAAATTTGCTAAGCAGACAGGCATAATGGTAAGTCCTACTGCTCGGAAAGTTCGTCTGGCAGATGACGTTGTTGGCGAAATCTTGGGTGAGGCAACTGTGTATGTGCAGTCAGGGGCGTTTCACAAGCCTGTGAAGTGCTACGTCAAGAACTTGTTGTTCGAGGTTGATCTTATCTTGGGGGATGAGCTCATGACTATGTATAACTGCATTCTACATTATGGCAAAGGTGTTGTCATGATTCAGAAAGGGAAAAGACATTTGACTGTGCGTAGTCCTCCTCTTCCTCGTTCACGTTCTGACGATGATGAGAAGTCTAATCCCGACGTGTTGTCATATTCGCAGTTGAAGCGGCTGATGAAACGTGGGGCGAGCGTGTACCTGGCGTGT